ATATTATATATATATATATATATATATATATATATATATGTATGTATTGCGGCATAATATCGAATGCGAATATATCAAATTCAGTTATTTTAAGATCTTTGATTCAATCCGCAAATAAATTTACATATTCCACGATACGCAAATTTACTGTAACCTTAATTAAAAAAGTATTATTTACAAATTTTTTAGTATACATTTGCACACCTTTATGTACATGATAATTTGGAACACTAAATTTGATTCAATAGATTTTCCCGCAAATCTAATATCACTATCAACTTCAAATTAATAAATAATCGTACGTTGTTGTTGCACAATGGCAAATTTTCCGTATTAAGAAAGTTAATAACCTTAGAATTGTATTTATAAATACGTTTTAAATCGATGTATACAATCTATACTATAATAATACACATATTGTACATAAATACAAGTTGTTCCTTAATACACAAGATACTCTGTATTGCATCAAATTCACATTCAGTGTGTATCATAATAATTAATAGCTCGTGAGCATCTCTAGTAACCTATTAACGACCATTGAAGGTCATCAAAACCGTCCTCCTATAGAAGATCCCTGAGAAAGAAGCGTCAGTTATTTCATAAAATATTAAAAATTCATATCTCTATTTTCTCCATCGAAAAATTAATTTGATTAATTTTGGTTACGTTAAATTTAATAATAAATATAATATAATAAATTGCACAATTTGATTGATCGTTCCAAAAACTATGTCCAATTTCAAAAGTTTCACTAAACAGACGTTTGTTATTTTACAGTCGCGCTTATCACTTGTCCCGTATATTACTTGTGACAGAAGATGCTAGGATCCATCTGTTTTATAAAATGACTAAAGCTTATACCGGATATTTTTCACTAGACTACAATCTGCCGTTTCAATTCTCAATTGTTCATATCGTAGTGTTTCCCATCGTAAACCATCGCGGTTAGTTTCGAACGTCGATCAAGTGCAGTGCTAGTTCTCACAGTACAATCACAGTGTGTGTGTGATATATTGCTGTTGTAATATCCGATAGTACGAATATATTGATCGAACTAAATTCGGTTAAGAGGCTTTGAGAGCCTTGTCCGCGTGTGCTAGAGTCAGAGATCCCACGAGAGACACTAGAGTTCGATCTAGCCATGTTATAGGATTCGGGTACAAAAGACCTCCCTCGTAAAAACCTAAATGACCTCCGTGCGCTAACTCCACATATAATGTGTTTAAACGATTGGCTGAAAAAACAAAAATATTAAGTACATTTTTACTTGTCATATCGCTTATATTACACATTTATGGGTGATATGCTTACCCGCGTGCTCTTTGATTGGATTTAATAATACTTCCGGCACGACCGGATCGTCTAACGCATTGATGAATACCATCGGCGTTGTAATATTGTCTAGATAAAAAATACAACTACTCCACTTGTACATCTCTTGCACAGATCTAAAGTTGTGTACCTGAACGGTATAATTTGTAAAAATTAAATTCATTGCTTAGATTATACGAAAATATTGAAGGTGTTCGACTTACCTTTCTCGTGTACGCTTCATCCAATTCGGGTAACGTTGCCGCGGAGATTATATCACGCTCGTTCAAATTACATCTTTGTTTCACATCCTCGGACAAAAGCATACCTTTATGTTTTAGTATAAGATTCTTCATCGATTCTGTCATTACGTAGAGGTAGAAGCGTCTAAAGTTCTGCCAATTTAATAGAATTTTCGTTCCTCTGAAACATGTACCCCAAATTAATATTTTTTCTTTATTTTAATTATCAGAAAAACAATCTGTTTACTTACTCAAGAGCGTTGTATCCTTGGCAAATTGATATTCCTCCAATAATGTTGGACAATTTATTTGGACCGCGTTCTCCTAGGTATTTTGTTACCAAATTACCGCCTAAACTATATCCAATACAAACTATTTTTGTATTAGGATGTTTCTCTATCAGATTTTGTAACATCGTGTTGTAGTCATCCGTGTGTCCTGTTTATAAAATGCATATTATGAAGTTTATCTCAACAAATATATTGATATAAGATTCTAAGATACAAAAATGAATAAAAATGTGTATTGTAACATTAATATACATTTTATTCATTTTTCTGCTTTAGAAGTCGTAGAAATTGTTAGTAATTGTGAATGCTAATTAATTTCGGTAATAAATATATATCAAGTATAATTTCCTTGTCAATAAAAAAATAACTGCTACATAATTAGAAATAAAATTGGCAATACTAGCAAGCTATTTAAAAAATTATTTTGTCAATTACATTAATTTATAAATACATAATCACATATCAGCGTAATTCAGAAGTTTGCGACGCAATTCGATCGTTGTTATAGCATGCTTAACATTCTCACGATATTCACTTTTGCGCAGTATAAGAACTGTTATTATTTGCCAACTTTCCCCGATCAATTCATCGTAGCTAGACAAGTTTTATCGATCGTCACACATACCATAAGAGAATATTCTCGGTGCTGTGATCTTGACACTGGAAAGGGCCCCGACGTGATTAAGTACCGCACACCGATAGCCATGACATTGCACGAAGTGTACGAAGGTCCTGATATAAACGCTTTCCGAGCTGTTGCCGATACCGGGACAAATAGCTATCGTTATGTCATCTGGAACAGTAATTGTTTGCAATACCAAGCACTATTAGCTTCCACATTTTTATTTTATCCTGAAAAAAATGTTCATTAAATACGTTTAAAGCACTTTGAAAAATAAATAATTGTAAACGAATTCGGTTAGAAGGGTTTTTGCAATTAAATCTGCAAATACCTTCGTGTCCATTGGTCAGCGGCTGATAGAGATCGTATGTAAGAGTTGTTTCATCCGGAAGACCAATGTACACCCGTTCGCCAATGGGCCAAGGGCACCGAACACGCCCTATAACACTGTGAATAATAGTTTGTACGTGTCCGCTGAAGCCCCACAACCTCGTTGGCTTGTATCTGAAATGGGCCAAGGATATTCATAACTCGTTTGCGTTATTTATGAATCGTACAAAATTATCCTATAATTACTATAATACGAGAACTAAATTTTCACTGTATAAGACTATATTATATGTCATTAATGTGTCATTTTTTTGCAACATCAAAACCTGTTAAATTTTAAGGAAGTATCACTAATAATTACTATAAGTACTAGCTTTTAATTTTATAAAGCTATTTTGTATGTCATTAACGTTGTTTTTTTTCGGTTAAAGGTCCTTATATTTTAAGAAAATATCGCTGACAATTATTATTGTCAGAGTATGAGAATTATCTTTTAATTTTAGACAGCTATTATCGCTAACGTTGTTATTTTACTATCGACACTGCAATTCTTTACATTTCAAGAAAATATCGCTGATAATGATTACAAGAATTAGCTGTTTTAATCGAATAAAATTAATTTACGTATTGCTTACATTATTTTTTTGCAATGGACATTGAAGGTTCTTAAATTATAAGAAAATATCGCTGATAATTATATTATAAGAACTAGCTTTTAACTTTATAAAGCTATTATGTATAGCGCTTACGTCGGTTTTTCGTAATCGATATTCCTTGAATTTTAATACTGCTGCAGAGAAAGTAACGAGAAATAAGTTCAAATTATTAAAAACATGAAAAATATGACAGTAGGTTAAAAGCAATTGGAATGTTTCAAGCCTTCAGCAGTCTTTTTGAAAGTGTCTCGGAATTCTATGTCCCACTTAATAGAATGACGATCGATGACAGTGATTAAAACAAATCTAGTATTTGCACTTTCTTCAGAGTATTTCATAAAATATGAGTAAACTTTGTGCAGTTGTTGAGGCACAGATTTCTCTCGAGACAATATTTCATTGTAATTAACATGTTATAACGGTATTCGAATATGCCAATGAACTCTCAGTCGGATGGTGAATGACGTGTGTAAGAAAATCTATGAATGGCTATTTAAGTATAATCAATCACAATTTGAAGTTTTTCATTATGATATAATTGACGAAACGATTTGTGAGAGATTTGTGACAAATTCATATCAATTAAATTGATTTTATTGCACTTTACCGTTGAAGATATATTCGAAGAAAGCACGCTTTGTATGCTAATGATACGAAATTTTGTATCGTGCTACAAAATTGATTTATTTTTAGCGCATGTCAATTTTATAATACGACAATTAAATAATATAAGCATTTAAATTATCATTTTTTGCAATCACGATAATCTACTTTGTTCTGTGCTACATTTGATCTTGTTTTACATTTTTTGTACAGTTCTCTTTCGAGAGAAAGGAAATGTAGTCTATGCAATACTACGCATATCACTTGTGTAACACAAATGGGTGAAAAGGAGAGTCGCATTGTTAAATTCTTTTATAAGAATGTACAAGAAGTTGTAGTTGTTCAGTGAAACACCTTTAGAAGGTAAAACACAAACCTATGGAAAAACCATTTCACATTACATAAACTTCCTCGATTTTTTGCGAAAACGTTAGTTTTTGTGAAGTCGTTAGGAAAATTTACATTCGGTCGAAAGAAACTACATTCCAAGTAGCGATCGCCAAGCAAGATAGCTGTATAATTAAATTTATTTGAAGGTCGTTCATTCAAAATTTACGACAACTGCTTTGGCTCATTAAAGAGAAGTGTACAATTTTTTTCAAGCTGAGAGCGGAAACATTTCTGTTTCGTTACTTTTTTTCGCTGTTCTTCAAAAATTGCAATATTGTCTAATTATTGTCTAATTATTGTCTAATTATGTAGAACTGCCAAAGAATGAACTACGGAGACCATTAACGCGACAGTGCATGTACGAAATTACATCAATTATACATGACTGTTGCATTTTAATGACAGAAGTGTACAAAGTTGCGACAGTGGATCGATAGAGCACGGTAACACGGTATCGATTCTCCGGAATAAAGTCGACTCGAAAAATATAACTCGCTTTTCATCTGTACAGAAAATATTTATTACATCTTTATCTTATAAAATTGTTTTTCCGGTATGTAAGAAATGAGATTTTTTAAATTCGTCAAAACATTTAACAAAAAGTTTATGTTATATTATGAAAATCAATACAAATTTCCTGCAACCGATTACAATGCACTCTTTATATTGTACACAACAGTTGATTTATAAATCATCTTTATTAAATTTTTTTTCTTTGCATTTATTACGCTCAGTTGACGTTACTTTCAAGCCTTTTTGCTGGATTATCATGCGTAGTTATCTTTCAATCTCTACACATAATTCTTAATACTGTGTTTCCACAAACAGCGTAGATTGCTAAATTTAATTCGTTTAGTGAGCTATGAATTTTTCTGTTTGTATTTCTGCCATCCTGCTTTCTACTCAACCTGCTTTTCTTCCACTTAGATCGCAAAACGAGAGGAGAAAAGATCTTTTTTAGACTCTCTTACGAGTCATGAGACAAAATAAAATTCTTTTCTTCTTCAATGAGTCTGCGTAAAAATATATATAGTCACAATCAATACACATTGTGTAAAGTGAAAAGAGAAACGTGTCAACAATATTCGCATCGCGGCCGTGAAGTCATCGCGCAAATTGAACGCGTTAGGGAAAAGTAGGGTAAAACTATAAAACCGGGCGGCTTCTTACTGCCAAAGATGAGAAGAAGCAGAGTGCTCTTCATTATTATCGTTCACTTATGGTTGCGATTTTCGGTTTATGCGCGCGAGAACTTTTCGACTGCGGAATTTGATATATAAAACTTGGATATAAAACAACTTGTAGAGATAAATTGCATCAAAATGTCAGATTAATGTCATGAATATTTTTGAGAAATATGATATCTTTTGCAATTGTTACCACACTATATTTTGCATATAAATTTTTATACAGGTGAAATAAACGAGAAGAAATTAAGCTGATGTTGATTAAAAATGTCGCTATATTTAAATAAAATTCTTCATAAATATACATCTTTTTACGCAAAATATTCAAAAAATTAATATGGCTATAAAAAACTGTGCTAAGTTATATAAGAATCATAAATCACATGTCACTATAAATATTAAATATTTCGTGCAATTCTATTTTCATTTTTAAAGAAATAATCTCATACTAACAAAAACAACTTGCTTTAAATGTGAATTAAAGGAGAAAATTCTTTTTCAGCGTAATTTCCTTTTCTATAATTTCCTGAATAAGTGAGTTTGCGTGCTGCACGTGTCGTAGTTGGATTCGCACGTTAGAGTCACGGTCATGGCTTTGTACGATCGATCAGAGTGTGCGAAAGCAATCCATATTTACCAATTGTTACAATGCTGTTTGCCGTTTATTCAAGTGTACTCAAATTTTCCATCAGTGTCAATGTAAATAAGTTACTCAAATTTGAAGTCAATTATTCAGTATATTGCCATTTTTATACCAACAATTCGTTATAACGATCACCGAAGAGATAAAATATTTATTCTTCAATAATATACGTATGTGTGTAAATATATGCATTAGCGATCGCAAAAACATGATTATCAATCTGTTGATTTGCAATAAAAAAAATATTCCAATGCCAGCTGGTCGACTGTTCAACGGAACGGCAAACATATATTTTGTATTATAAAATGGTTGTATTTATATAAGATAATTCATTTATTTATACGAGATATGTGATAAGAAAAAAGCAAATTTACGTGTAATTAATTGAGAGGTTCCCGCCTCGTTCGTGAAAAAAATAAGATAAATTATTCACGCGCAATTTCTCGCAATCTCCTCGGCATATTCCGATACTGTTGTGACCTCTTGAGGGAAATTTTTACATGTAAAATTACAGTACTTCCTATAATTTATTCACTCATCAAGATAATAACACTGCTAACATCGAAAAGTGGTAGTTCCAGCCGATTTACCAATGTTTGTGCTCATTTTTACGATTCCAGCATGTGGGGGGGGGATTCTCGACCGCATTAATCGTATCCGATCTCAAAATAGCGTTGAACTCTCTGATACACGTGCATGACACCATCAATCAATTTATGATTAAGCTTTTTTGTCGCGTAAAACTAGAACTACGAGCTGAAAAACAGGTCATCCGGTGAGATATGGAAACGCATGGCATAAGAGAGAGCGCGTTTCTCGTGACGAGCGTTTCGCGTTGAACACGGAAATGCAAAAACGTGCGCTCGCAAGGAAAAAATCCATCGAATCGTAATGATATGGGAACGATGTGTTGCGACGATCGCGAATTGTGCGGTCATTAGAAAGAAGAAAGCGTCGGAAAATGAGCGAGGTCGCCGGCTCGTTCTCGTGCCGCTGGCTCGCACGAAGATGTGATTTCCGTAACGCAAAAACGAGTACGCGAGAGCGCGACGATGGCACAACGATCACGTTGAGATCTGTAATTTCTAGATTCCCGATTCGCCGCCGCGCTCGGCCGAACGAAAGGAGAAATAACGACTGTCGGGAAGTAAAAGCAGCACCTAACAGGTGATTGCTGGGAAACTTCGCGGTTTCTCAATGAACCGCGGGAGAAGCCCTTCACCGCGCAGATCAGATAGCAATCACTCATCGCGTAAGCGGAATCGAAACCGTTGGAATTTCGCCGGGATCAGTTTTCGATCCCGATCAGTTCTATGCTACTTTAGCGTACGCAACGTGTGTACGCGTTGCTGAGACACGCAAAAATATATTTATTCACGACAACCGAAACGTGATGCGTGACGTAAGGCTCTATTGCAGCAATGTCTGGAACTCAACGAAATTGTACCCGAGCAACAATCAGCGCACAAGTCACGCGCCGATATTTGCAATCAATTCTTCAGATAATAATAGATTATAAATCGAACGATAGAAGCGGAAGTGTAGACAGAACCAAGTAATAAAATACACATATGTTGTTACCAATTTTTTTAGAAGAGATAAAATCGGAAGTCTTGTTATACATTTCCGCTTTCTTACACGCTTTCACACGACGCGGTCGAAAGAAGAAGGAAATCACGCACTTAACAAATAAGCTTATTTAATGGAATGTTCTTATTATTATTTCAATCGAGATTTTTCCACATCAGCGTTATATGATCGTACTAAGCGATTATTTCGCTTTCGCATGGTAACATTGGTACGAGAGAAATATAGGCGTGTAAAATAGCGATATAAACTGCGTAACAATAAATAAATAAATTTAAATCATAAAAATTGCGATGTTTTAATATTTAACAGCGGCTTGCGTTCAAGCGAGCATATTTGCAACGCGGCGCTTTTTATTCATCGTCGTAACTTCATGCAGCCTTCTATGCAGTAAAACTTCATGAAAATGCGCAGCATGTTTCGAAACCTATGCTGGAACACGACGCAGATTTCATTCGTGCGCATAAAAATGTTTTTTTTTCGCATTTTCCTACTGATAACTCGGCCGGCTTGTAACTCAAGCCGAGCGTGACTCATAAGTTCACTGTTATCCAGGATAACAGAAGAATGAGATGAACGAGAATGACGTGTTGTATAACACATAAAATAGAATATCTGATTTTATCGTCGTTCGACTTATATTATCTAATCAGATTGCGTTTTTTTTTGCGGTTAACAAAAAAATTTACGATACGTACGCGCGAGTGACGCAGAAAATTTATGATAATCGATGAATCATAATTAATTTAAATAATTTTTTTTTATAAATGCGTATCGATGAAAGTATTGCATTCTTTTGCGTGGCTTTCTCGATGCCATTCTTTCCCAAGACGGAAGTCAAAGAGTTGATTGCGTGGCATTCCCCGCGGAGTAAATTAAGCGGGCGCAACAGTACACTGTAATTTCCCGTTAGAATGAGTATCGAATACCAACTTTTACTATAAAAAATCTTTGCTCATAATTTACAACTATGTGACTGTAAACAGATGTTTCCTTCAAGAATCTATCATTTTGTTATTTTCTTTACTTAAAATTCTTCGTATTCTTCAATTCCGCGCAATTCTTTTTTTGAAATTTTTTTTGGATGGTTTTTGCAAACACATGAATAATTAATTAGTTTTCTTATCTATATTTGGTGTTGAATTATTTTTAACAATTCGTTATTCTGTGCTTGAATGTCAAAATATACGTAAATAATATGCAAATAAAGAATATATAAATAGATATAAATGAGTCAAATAAGGAAGAGTTTATATATATATTTTGACAAATAAAATTTTGCTTTCTTCATTCTTATCAGAAGCACTTTGATATGAAATTTTCCGCAACTTCTATTATAGATTAATCAGCGAATTCTACTTGTTTATTTCCTGCACGCACTATCTCCGTATTTTTCTGTTTGAATCAACTCAAAAGAGGCAAAACATAATTCAGATAACAATAATTCAGTATAATAATTCAGATAATTTAATGAACTTTGTAGCTTAAGAAATTTATGATTTAAGTGACATTGCAGGAATTAAAAATAAAAACTTTGTTACTCAACATTTATCTGATAAGCGTTAATCGCAAAGTTTCAAATAATGATAATATTTGTTATCATTATTTACAGGAAATTATGTTTTGTCACACTATACTCTGACTACTGTGTTATTGCCTGTAATAACTATTATACTTCAAAGCCAGTTTGTGAACTATCGCATGAATTTCCTAACAAGCTCGAACAAAAGCCTATAACAATCCATTATCCCAAACATTCCTAGTACTTGCAAGAAAACACCCATTATACTCATTCAAGAACAAGCGTAATACCCACATGAGAACATTCATTGTCCTTATGCGAGTACAACTGGAGTGAACAATCGATATAAATGAAAAGCAGCTCTAACTTTATATTAATATTTTATATATTTTATACATCATTGTAATGATGTATAGACAGATAATTTCTTCATTGTCCAAATAACTGTAATATATGTATAACATAATGCTAATAATAATATAATAAATATCTCTCACCATAAATTATGATTAGCACAATTTTCATATATTATAATATTAAACATGTATCTTCTGTAATATTCATATATGATAATATAAAACATATATATTTTATATCCAAGGAAATTAATTCACTTTCAATTTTACATTATTCTAATTTTTTTACTACATTATATAAGTAAACGAACCACAAAACAACAATGTGCAACGCATATTGTTCCTACTATATATGTATAATTTGCTTGTTATATGTAACGTTGGAAAGTAAGAACTGCTTTCCTTCACTTATCTATTCACATTGGATACGGCATCAAATGTGAAATAATTATTTTTATGGTACCAACATAAATTTCACACTAGCTTATACTGGAGCACAATCCAGCTTCTAGCATCGACTTAACCTCACTTCCCGGCACCATAAATTGTGAAATTTATGGGATTTTTATCCCTCGAATTGCTCTGCTGACAATCTTTTTGAGTCGCAAAATTTATGATAAATTTAATTCAAAATATGTGAAAAGTTAATTTTGAAAAAGACTTACGGTTCGGCGATAACCGGTGCGATTTTCAGTACTGTTGACAGAAAGGATTGATCTTTGCAAACGAGGAGAGGCTTCTGTGGAGCACTATTCACATTCAATATCCTGAACAGGATGCACAGGATGACAGCAAACACGGCTAGCAATGCTGTAGACATCTTTCTTTAGGTCGTTGTCCTGAAAGGAGTATCTTTTTTTCTACCCATTCTCTGTACCCTTTCTCCAGCCTTTTTATATTACTGGATTTATTTTTGTATTAAAAAACTATTTTAAATGTCTCTTTAAATTACCTTTTATATAAATACATCACTAAGGGTCTATAATAACTTGTATGTTTTTTTAGCAATATTGCTATCTTTGAACATTTATGTAAACATAACATGTTTTTTTTACCGTTCTCTTTTTCAGGAAGAACTTAGTTAACTTTCTTCGTAGAATACGTAATATGATAACAGGTTATGAGTAAGAAGGCTGCGACGGCCGTGAATGAATCTGATTCATACAGTTGAGGCTTCGTGACCTGTGAATAGAAAGAACGCTGATTAAGATTTGAAACACGAATTCGGCTGACAGATAACAGAAATATGACAAGTACTGGAAATGCAGAATGACGTAAACGTCATGCGTTACAGATGTGTGAATCAGCTGAATAAATACGTTTCGAATAAGGCAAAATACATTGTAATTATGAATGAGATAATTGTGATAATAATGAACGAGATTGTACTGCAGCAGATGGTACGATTCTGATTGACTGTGTGTATGTGTGTGTGTGTGTGTGTGTGTGTGCGTTACATCGTTTTGCATTCCCAGTCAACACTATTTTATTTGTAAAATATTGCTAGAGTAGCTGTGAATATCGATAAGGTGAAAGATCGATAATTGCGAATATTGTGAATAAACTCGCTGATAAATTTTTTTGATCGATCGCTATTTTTATAATTTTTATAAAAAATCTGCGTTTATAATAAGCTGTTTGCAAGTATACGTAGATAGTTTGAGTGTTGAGATTTTCAGAATTAGCATTATCGATGTATTAATTAAACGAATCAAGTCCACATAATTCTTAACATTTCGGAGTAACAAAAGCTGAGATGACGCATTATATATTTTAATTATTATATTATATTTTAAATACGACTTAGACACAACTTGTTACCTAATGTCATAAAAGCAATGACAATATAAAAATTTACATTTGAATTTCCTTCATCGAATCTGCATACATTTTGTTGCGTCTTAATAATTATTTTATGTTAATCACTGAACTTAGATGACTTTACAAAAAATTATTTATCCTTTAGAGTCTGTATTAAAAAGAAAGATAAAATAATGCTAATCGCGACTAATTAATCCTTCCAAATTAACATAATTCCTTAGTTAAAAAAAAATTGCTGATTAATTTTTCCAGACAATCTTAGCTTCAACATTATTACAAAGAAAGAATAATGCAAATAGCTAATTATATACATATTAATAATAGTAAACGAATTTTTTTCTAAGATCTCAATTAACATCTAGGGAAGCTAAACAGATATATAAAGCAAAATTATTTTATCAAGTATATCTCAATGGCAACGTTAAGATGCACTTATAATTATATAGAAATCGCAGACAAAGGCACTCGTGCAGTCATCCCGGCGTTGCTTAAACTCCGAAATACAACTCAATCCCATCTTATTTCAGCCCTCTTGTGCCGAATTATCGACGAAATGGCAATGCTCGACGGGAAACGATGAATCAAATCTGTGGTATTCGTTTTTACATTATTCTTGCTCACCGGATGATGTTCCAACCGGCGGGCGGGGCGACGACTTCGTGTTAGAGATTCTTTACAACCGGCTCGGTCAACTCGCCGGTACTTCACCGAACGAAGCAGCACGCCTGTGTGAAATTCATACACGTCCGTACGCGTTGCAATTCGCCGAACGACTGACATCTATGCGCGTCTGCGATAAATACGCCCCGCTAGAACGGCGCGGACTCCCCCGTTTTTCCCCTACGAAACTGAGGGTTGAGAAGTGTAACGACTACTTCCATCGATATATTTAATTCTTATTTTTGTATTTATTATATCAATAAAATTTATATATTATCGTCACTTTTCTTCAATCGACGCATGATGCATCGTTTTTTTATTAGAACATTATCATTTTTGCAGATTATAATTCTTTAAGCTCACTACGCTCTTTAAGTTTATATAAATAACTTGTAAATAAATCATTCAGTCTTCTGAATAGACATTTAATTTTAAAGTTTAATCTTATTTGTGAAAGCAAATTTAATAATATATTCGGGTTATAATTTGTAAGATTGAGAAAAAAAATGTACATATATGCATATGAATTATTTGAATTATGTCTCTATTATGAATTATGAATCTATTTAAATTATCGAGATAAAAGATACTTTAGAAAATGAGTCACGTACAAATACAAGTACAAATACTGACCTCAAATTTTCATTTTAGAGATTTACAATCAGCTATAACCATTAGCACAAGGTCAAGGCTGTGATCCATGACACTCGACGTGTGATGGAAACATAATGCTTATCAATATTTAAATCTTTTCCTTTTTCCTCCATCGCTCAGTGTCCAATGAATATTTAAATAAAATTTTGTTTCAAATATCCTATGAATCGTAAATTTCTCAATCTGTTCTACGGCAAAATTGTATTTAAAATATCTATCTTTTATGCATAAAAACTATTCTACATTAAAAGTAATGTCTCTCTATAATTTACATTTTAAAAATTGAATTCACCAAATGTCCGTGAAGCAATAATATAGCTAAAAAAGTATCACGTTAAAGAAAATTTTGAAGATTTATGTAAGTTATCCTTTTCATAATAAAAATTATACATATTAATTAAATATATCAATTCGAATTTTATGCAGCATAAAATGTCTTACAAACATCCAGCTTCTTATCTAAAATTTACACAAGTTTTCATTTTTTATTTTTAGATATGCGACATTTGTGATATTGAATTAAGTCTGTTAAGATAAACTAATATTTTTTGATAAACAATATTTTTATATTATCAAAGATCTGTTTTTGAAACTTTTCCAAATAATAATTTTGCAATATCCCACAAACTGTTACATTAAATTAATGACGCGGAAAGTGTTATGTTCCATGTAATTTTCATGCCGGTCGATTGTTACACAAGTTGACATAGCAACGTGAGTTATTTATTCCAGTATAAGTCTTACTAAGTCTTACTTTCCACCACAAGAGTGTGACAAAAATGTAATAACTATAATAAAATTAGTTAAGCAAATTTGAATATCGGTAATTAAAACTAGCAGTATCATAAAAAATATAATAAACAATAGCAATGTTTAAAATTATTTGTTTCAAGGTATTAATCCAATAATCATTAACAATGGCAACGCGTGGCAAAGGTAAAAAGAAAGCCGGGGCGAAGACTAATGGAAAAAATAATGAAAAAAGCGCTAAAGGAGGCAATGGCGGCAAGAATAAAGGATCAAAAAAATCTAGAAGGAGCGGTGGGAAGGCGCGATTTACTATGGACATTTTTAACGAGGAAGTAATGGAGAACGCTTATTATACGTGCCATAACATCATGGACGTATTAAAATGTCGAGGATTTCCGTGGCCAGAAGCTCAGAAAAAGAAAAAAGGAAAAAAGAAGAAATAGTCATACAAAATGTGTTTTAATAAAAAAAAAAATAAATTCAATATCACAATCAATTTTGTGTGATATAAGTATCAGTTTAACAAAATAATCTATCATAACGTTTTTAATTTTAAAATTAACACAAGATGTAATGTTAATTGGAATAAAAAAATATTAAAAAATATTGTTTATTATACTATTATACTAAGAACTAAAATACTTACAGGCTATAGTGCATTCACTGCATACATAATACTAAAAATATATTTTAAGAAACAAAATATTATACTTTAGTAATTCTTTCTTCTTATTCAATAGAATTCGATAGGAGATTGTTGCAATAAACTTCCATATCAAATTCAAATTCTTCATCATTCGCATCTGGTCCATTAAAAACGTTGTGCACTGTGACTGTCTTAGCATATGTTAGTTCAGACAGAAGCTGTAAAAACAACACGATTAGCGAAAATTATATCGTACAACAGAGAGTCATTATTATGCTTACCTTTGGTGTCAGCAAAAAATATTGGGAACTGCCTGGTCTTCCTGTCATTTTCACAAGCAAATTGAAGACCCGTCTTTCGTTTACCGCATCCATGCCCTAGCAAATTAAAAAATATTTAAATTGTAAAAACAAATAAACTATAATAAATTACGTATATATCATAGTTGATATCAGAAAAGTGTACAAACTTGATTAATTTCATCCACACAGCGGAATGGTACGCGCGATAATTCCTGCAACGCGATCATATATATGGCAGTAGTTACAGTTCTTTCACCACCACTCTGGAAATGTCTCGTTAATTCTTGTAATTCGTCCGTGTCTCGAAACTTCACCCTGATTTTAAGACCATATTGATCAAAATCCATCTAAAAATATATTTGGTTATTAAGAACAATGAAAGAATGTTTGTTTCGCATTTATATTGCATATGTATACTTACGGGATTTTCACCGTGCGAAAGCGTGACTTCACCAGCACAGTCCATCGCGGCAAAATAAGCACTGAAGTTTGCATTTATCTTTTCAACCAGCTCCTCTAATGGTTGTAACCACTTCTTTTTTAATTCCTCAATCTCTTTTGATATTTTCTCTAATTCGACAGTCTTTTCTTCTATATATTTTTTTAAAGCTTTAATGTTATTTTGTACATCCTCGTATTCACGTAACACCTAGAAATACAAAAAAAAAAAAGAATATTAAATTATCATTCTTATATTAATAATTTATATACTTAAATAATTATGGCCTTCATTACATCGTACTTACATTTTCAGCATCTACATTTTTTGCCATGCAAAAAACTTTTGCTTGAGAAACATTTAATTCGTTATTTATTTCGGCTATAGTAGCCGGTAATTTTTCAAACGCCTTATTGAAAGGCTTAAACGCATTATTTTGTGGATCAATATTATTTGTACTTTGCAATGCTTCATTATACAGTCTTAGAGCTTCCTTAGTTAAGGGTTGGAATTCGTCATTATATCGTTTAAATTCCCATTCTGCGGCGTCGTGCTTATCTTTGAGTTCCGCAACATCACTTTCTTTCTTCATTAAAGTTTGTTCTAATAATGTTAATGCAAATTTGACTTCTTCATTTTGCGTGACACAATTAAAATATTTCTTTAACACTGCGTTATATTCTTTATACATTTGTAGTTGGTTTTTTATA